ACACATCATTCGGTGTTTGCCGTTACAAAATCCTATGAGGAGACGTCGAGCTGAATACGAAGTGTGCGGTTGCGGCGGCGCGCATGTCACGTCAGGGTTACGGTAGCCCATCGGCTGGGTGCTGAGGTTAGATTCTTGTATAGCTCACAGAACTCCAGCACTTCCAGCATCCGGATCAGTTGAACTCATTTCTTATAAGCAAAGATATGGGAATTATAATAGCTTTTTTTGAGCAAAGATGCCGTGAACCTAGATATGATATTCGCCTCTGAATTTGAGAGCTAAATCGGCGGAAACATTCTGGACAACCCAATATTTTGACCATCTGAACACGAATGTCACACTCTTTGCCGCAAAAACGAGTAGCGAGCAAGCTATTGAGTGCCTTGTTCAGTCATAGGGAAACAATGGCCAAACCAACCAGTTCCTCGCTAACTCATTACACAGGCTGATATTGACGAAATGATGACGTCATAAGGTTTTAGCCATGGGAACTGACTCGATGTTTTTCCTGGCCAGAGAACCACAATAAAATTAATTGGTCTTTTTTCAGATTTCTTGCAATCAAGGAGCTTCAAGAAGCATTCCAGAAACTCCAAATTAATGATGGCTCTGCAGCCAATGGCAAAGCATCTTCGAATAATGTCAGTGATAATCAGATAACCTACTGACTCCATTTTTCCATTGTGTTCTGACACTCTGAGCACCTTTTACCTCTAGGGTGTCAATGGTACAAAACAGTGGTTCTTCCCTCTTGAGAATGTAAAGACTCAAATCCAAAGACAAGCAATATGTGATATCTCGATCCAGTTGTCCCACCATCTGAAACAACCAGACGTTACGGATGGAAACGACGTCAACGTTAGACTGTGCGAACCGTGGATCCGCTAGCGCACGTTGGGTACGAGGGTTGCACCAGCGCTTCGAATGATGTACCGGCGGTTTGGATGACGTACAAGCGACTCGACAGTGTTTAAAAGTGGCGGGAGTCCTTCTCGTCAGCACTTAAGTATCTCCACTTTCCCGGGCTCTCATACCTTCTCGCTGTCTCATGACCTCGTGGGCCCGGTGAAGTGGCGAGAGTCAACGTGCGAACAAGAGAGACTCGAGCCACTTTCAAAGGCTGCCGAGTCGCCAACACATCAGACGAACCGCTGGTGCAACGATTTTATCGCGATTCGCTCAACGCTCAACTATGTCTCTCAGATATCTCTCAAATTCTGTGGGAAAGCCGTGGCGTTAAAAATGAATGCCACATCCGTATTTGAGACCGTCAATTACACCTAGTCGGGTTGGCGACTTTAGATGCAACTGCAATTATGGCGAGACTGTTCGCACCTCCACTCACCTGCCTGTGGGGACACCTCGCTTAATTGCGGTACGCTGACTGCTGACCTCTCCTTGTCAGACTCATCCTAAGCTAGTGTAGATTGTATAGATCATGGACTTTATTGCATTAACCCATTCAAAAGGTCACACATATTGAATTAGTTCGCCTGGAGGGAGGTGGGATGAGTGTTTTTACTTATATGGTGGAGAAAATAAAATATATAATGGTCACACAGTCGAACTGATTAGAAAAGCTATTAGGTGGTTCACTTAACTTGAACTTAGTAATCAAAAACATTTCTGAAAGCTATCAAGTTTATAGTGGTGGTATGGCTTCACGATATGTGTTTCCTGCACAGCTCATGATGCTACAGCCAAGTTCCACTATATCTGAAACTTCTGGGTTTCTATAACGTGATGTAATGAGCGTGAGGTCACCACATTAAAGTTCCTCTCCCCCTTAGTCGCAAGTTTACAACGAAGTCGGTGGCAAAAGAAACTTCGGCGTCGGTTGGCGCCATTTGGCGCCGGCTCCAAGAATCGATGCCATATCCATGTTCAACCCCGTCGATTTCCTGCTTTGGCTTCCGTCCCAGATAAGTTTTGAGGACCCCTGAGGTCATGCTAGACAATAAGACTGCCGTCTCGGACAATCCGTCACCACGTC